GTAGGATAAAGTGTCACAGTATATGGATCTGATGTTGTGTCTAATTTACATAATGTCACATTTGCTTTACACCAAACAATCAATAAAACGGGTGTGACATAACTTAATTAAACTATGTGTTCAAATAGAATGTATTTAAATCATTTATAAATTTACTACTTTTTTTAAAACTATAAGATTTTTTTTTAATTTGAACAAAAAGTAATTTAATCTAATTTGATTTGAACAAAATTTATAATTGGTTATTTTGAACACATAGTTAAACAAGTTATAGAAAGTCATCTGGATATTTCAAAGAAATAAAATCATACACCTAAATGTCTCAAATGTCTCATGTTTCTTTCTAATAAAAGAATATCAAGTTCTGATATAAATATACATATACTGCTCTGAAACACAGCCTGAAGAATACTAGCATTAGGTGACCTAAATATATTTGTATTTTATAGTTCAATTAATGAACAACAATTTAGAGAAATCTCTTCCACCAACACCACTCCCTGCATTATGGTCAGAATATTAAATTTTAGCAATTTAAGTATTGAAATCCCTTAAACTTGGGCAATTCCAAATCCAAAGAACTTTTTGATATTGAAATTCCTTAAACTTTGGCAAATCCAAACTTAAAGCAGGGCATTCATCCATACCACAAAATTGGGCAATTCCAATTCCAAAGCAGGAGTTTGATATTGAAATGCAATTCCAAATTCAAAGCAGGGCATTCATTCATACCACAAACTTGGGCAATTTCAAACTCAATGCAGGATTTTGATATTGAAATCCCTGTAACTTGGGCAATTCCAAATATACAGCAGGGCAAATCAATACCACAAACTTGGGCAATTCCAAATTTAAAGCAGGATATTTATATTGAAATCCATTAAACTTAGGCAATTCCGAATTCAAAGCAGGGCATTCATCCATACCACAAATTCAGCAGATCAAAAGTCAGCAGTTGAGATATAAAATCAATAAAAGTCCATTATAATTATAAATTTAGCATTGTAAGGGTTAATTCTGTATGATTTTGTATCCATGAATATCCAGATATATAAAGGGAGATAACTGAGACTGTTAGTACACTTGTTGTTGTTGCTCACAAAGCATGATCATAGCATGTGAAAATATATATAAAACTAGAAATGTGTCATCATGCCACGGATGCCCCCGCATGCAGCCAAAATTTCAGATGTTATTATATTTAGTTCCAAATTTGTTTGCACAAATTATTGTTTCCATTTTAAGTTCAAAGCCCTTAAGACTTTTCAATGTTAACACAAACCATTTTCATACAATGTTCAAAGCACTGAAATTATTCAGTCTTAACCTTTTGAAAATAGCATATTTCATATTTGTAGCCAAAATAATGGCTACATACATTTCCACAAAAGTATGAGTGCTGAATCTGAATGTTCAAAATTTTTTCCAATATTCAAGAAAGATAAGTTTGTCCAAAATCATTGAACCACGACCAAATTCAAACTTAAACTGCCTATTCCTAAGATGTATCTATATTATTTTTCAAAGTGAAAGGGACATAACTCTGCCAAAAAATCATCGAACCATGACCCAAATTCCAACTTGACCTGCCCATTCATTTGACATATCCATATTTCAAATTTGAGTTGAATATGTAACACTGTTGGGTAGATAATGAACAGAAACTGTAAATTTCATATTTTTTTCAAAGTGAAAAGGGCATTACTCTGCCAAAAATTATTGAACCATCACCAAATTCGAACTTGACCTTGGCATTCCAAAAAAATATCCATATGTCAAATTTGAGTTGAATGTGTTGTACCGTTGGGGAGATAATGAACAGAAACTGAAAATTTCATATCATTTTCAAAGTAAAAGGGGCATAACTCTGCCAAAAATCGTTAAACCGTGACCAAATTCGAACTTGACCTGTATTTTCTCATGACATATCCATATCTCAAATTTGAGTTGAATGTGTTGTACCGTTGGGGAGATAATGAACGGAAACTGAAAATTTCATATTACTTTCAAAGTAAAAGGGGCATAACTCTGCCAAAAATCATCGAACCATGACCAAATTCGAACTTGACCTGTATTTTCTCATGACATATCCATATGTCAAATTTGAGTTGAATGTGTTGTACCGTTGGGGAGATAATGAACGGAAACTGAAAATTTCATATTATTTTCAAAGTAAAAGGGGCATAACTCTGCCAAAAATCATCGAACCATGACCAAATTCGAACTTGACCTGTATTTTCTCATGACATATCCATATGTCAAATTTGAGTTGAATATGTGCAACGGTTACTAAGATAATGAACGGAAACTGATGATGACGGAATGACAGAATGACGGAATGACGGAATGACGGAAGGACGGAATGACGGAAGGACGGAAGGACGGAACAGGGTAACACTATATGCCCCGGCCATTACATGGCGGGGGCATAAAAAGTTAAATGTCAAAACCTTTCCTAAATGTCACAAATATTTTGACATTTAACTCTTTTTTATTATGCATGACAAGAAATGTTGAAGTTCTTCATACTTACACTTGTAATATAACACATGAGTGTATGAAACTATAAATCTTCTAAAAAGATGACATCCCTAACTACCGTCCAGTGACCGGCTGATTTTGCAGCGTTCCACAGTCTTTACACAACTGGACATATAAAACAAAAACAATAGTGCATGCATAGGCAATAATTAATCTGACAATGATAAAAAAATACCCTGAAAATTAAAATAAACATGCCAGTTTTAAAGTTTAGTTATTCCTTGCTAATGTAAGTATATACAGCAATTCATTAAATATATGGTTTTCAGGAAAAAAATCAAAAGTAAATTTGATCAGAGTCATTTAAATTAAACAACAGAAACCTTTTAGCATATATTTGGCAATGATAAATGTGTATATTTCATTTTGCCATGTTAACATGTATTAAACATTTGTATATCTCTGGAAGTGAGATCTTTTGTAGATTACATATATTTTGATGGATAATATGGCTGTACATGTAAATATGAAATCAGGTTTGTTATATAACCTTTTTCTAGCAGCAGATTGGATTGTATATTAAGCACATAACCAGTTATATTTGGCCACATAACCTGTCAAAATCTGTATAACTAATACTAAGATATTCATTATTTAGTGTGGTAAAGGATACAAGCCCAGTTTTACTTCAGTAACAATAAAAACCTTGGTACTTTAGTAACAATAAACATACATTTAAAACATGTACATTGCTATGATTTAGAACAGAATGATGCAGTTGCAAGCCTGGAAAAGCTCTACAATATTCAAACAACATTTTTAACTGTGCATATACAGTGAAAAACAGACCTTGTGCGAATCAGTGTTTTATTTTGCAAATGACTTGAAGTGAGTTTATGTGATATGATAGATAAGAAATCTGTTCTTAAAAACTTGGGATTTTTTACAAAGATTTTTTCATAGAAGGTGCAGTGGTGCAGTAATGTCATGAATTACAAAATGTAAGAAAAATTAACTTTCGATTATTATCGAAATTTACGTTAATTTTTTGGAAAATACAATGTCATAATTGACAGAAGAAACAGGGGTTTCAATTTGACCAAGCCATAGGGTATTTTCACTACAATATGTACATGTAGCGGGCTACCCAAATACTTTTTGTGACTTCTTTTATATTCATTTCCAGCTACCACATATGTACTCTCTTACTTTCAGAAATGTCAATTGTTCTTCAAAACATAATGAAACCAGTGAGTTACTGTATAGAATTGAACATTTCTATTAGTTAAGATAATTCCATTATGTAATTCCATGAAGCTTAATAAGATCTATTCTTATAACGAAGCTCCTGTCTATAGCTATGGTAAAATTTCCTATATTTAAAAAACTTTAACTATGAAAATTAAATTCATTTGGGGTCAAGGTAACACTTTAAGATGTTCAAATCAAATTATTGTCCTGAAGAATGACGTGTCTTATTAACACCGCTCTAGTTTATAATATATGATTCAGATAACATGGCCAATGCTATTAACACAGCTCTAGTTTATAATATATTATTCAGATAACATGGCCAATGCTATTAACACAGCTCTAGTTTATAATATATTATTCAGGTATCACGGCCAATGCTACAGCTGCCCACTTGCAAAATGACAGACGGACATACAAACAAACAGGACAAACACAAAATGCCCGCTGATCAATCCATGCAGGGACATTAAGAAAACATGCCCTATGAGGTATTTAAGCTGCATTGTTCCTCTATGCCTAGAAGCTTATCAAAAAAGACATAAATGCACTCTTTGTTCACATACAATTTATTCATGCAGATCTTGTAAAAATGGAGAAAAACACTACCATGGTATAGTCATTCAGTTAAAAAAATCAATTTATTTTTATTCTATCAAATTTTCTTATGATACATATTTTTCCATGCAGACTAAGTGCCCATCTGCATACATTTCTTTGACAAAGGGAAATAACTCTAAATTTACTAGTATCCATTGGAAAAAAAACACAACAAATGGATACCAATTATGTTAAACTTTATATTACTATCAAGAATGATGTAGACATACAAAAAATGTAAAATGATATTTATAAATAACAATCTTGTGTAGCTTTTAATGTATTAAAAATTACAAGAAACTTTTTAACTTATATCATTACAAATAACTCAATACAAATGCTGAAGTCAATATTCTATCTTTAATACTTTTTAATTAGGAAATAGAGCAAATAAATGTTGTCCTTGACATCAAATAATGCACATTATATTGAACACTTATGTATATACAAATATTTGTCTTCTTGTCATTCTTTTTAAAGAATTATTCAATTTTTAATGATCATTAATCAAATTTTTGTTGAAAATGTAACAACAAGTTTTCGATATGATAAAATGCAGTAACGTGCCATGAAAAAATCACTGACAAAACAGACACAAGGAAAGAACTTCAAAAATAACGATAACAAAATTGGTGTTGATATGTACTGCACAATAATGCTCTACTTACGTTAACGAGGCAGGAATCTTGACCAGGTTCGGCACAGCACTGACACAGTATTATATCTACACAACTTATTTTCTGTTAAAATAAAATGGAACAAAGTAATGTTTCCAGCTTTACTGTAGGAGGAAGACCTCACTTTCTGTGTATTATTTCAGGTATGAATGGGGACTGAGTAGAACCACAGACATTTCATAAGCTAGCTGGATAGCTTCCACACATGAAAGAATCCAAAGTCCCTGTACAGAGGTGAGGGGCAAGTGGTTTGAAGTCAACGACCTTAATGTAGACATTCATAATATTGTCTCTGTCTATGCAAGGAGTTCCACATAATTGGGAGGTAAATCTATCTTTTTATCACATACCCATGCCGCTTCTGTGACTCTGTGAAAAAGTATTGCACAGCTATGCATATATTTTGATGTGACCTCATTTGTGACATACAAACATAATGTAAAGACACGCTTAATGTAAATGTTACACTAAATATGCGTCAGTGAAAAAGTGATTTATTTATAAAGAAAACAGTTCTATTTTTGTTAAGTGATAAATAGAATATTTAATTCTTGTAGCTTCATTACTTAATTTATTGCACTTGTTGAATAAAATAATATCATGACCCCAGAGGCTCGCATAATATAATTTTATTCAATTCGTTCAATAAATTCTGAATTGAACTTACACTTATTCAATATTCTCTATTTAGTAGACAAACTGCATGTTTGAAACTTAAATTTTGATTGGTAATCACGATGGTTAAATTACTTAGATACACTGCTGCTATAATTTCATGACTCTTTTGTTTTAGTCATAGAAAGAAATTTATACAGCATTATAAATTTGTTATTATAATTTGTTACAGTGGTCCCTAGATAACAAAGCCAATGCTCTCCCTATTGAGTTAAGTAGGCTGACAATTATTTTTCTACAAAAAATATGGGGAAGGCGTCTAAGTCAGAAAGAAAAGACTTGAACACAAAAGTGGGATTTGGAAAACAATGTAAAATCTTGAAAATACAAAATTGACTGTTTTCAATGTTTAATTTATCATTTTAACTAATGCAGTACTACATGTATTATTAATATGAAATAGGTAAAAAATAAACATTTATGTTAAATAACATAAAAATTATAATGTATGTGTAATTATAATATTAGACTTACTCCGAAATAAAGAACATTTGGGTTTTTTCCCAGCTATTCAGTCGGTACAAAAACTTTTACAGTTACAACTTCGAAAATAAGTACAACAGGTTGACTAATCTATTGTGACCGACAGTGAACCGTGAAGCTATAACAGTAAAAGTTCAATGTAACTACAGATTAGCTGGGAAAAACCCACATATTTGCTGAGTTCCGGTTAACATCTATTCACATTACAGAGATCCACACACATACATGAACGTAAAAATTACAATTATAAATTACAATTATTCATACCTTTTTCGGACAAACAGAATTTAAACAACCATTTAGACTAGGATTACAACAGTCGCACGAGTCGGACACAGCTTTACAACATGGACAGCTTTCACCACCCTCTGTTCCACACGGAGTACAATCACAGTCACAGGACCCACGAGTCTGTAAAAAGTTATATAAATAATGCATAATACACCAGTCCATTGTTAATCCACACCCTGGCATCTCTAGAACAGTGCAAGGAATAGTAGGGGAAAATACGATGTTTTTTATTTTATTGTACAGGGCTCAAGCTAGGTTCAAAATTTAGGGAGAAGTCACTTCTCCCTCCAGCTGATTTAGGGAGAAGTGGGGAGACTTTAGAGAGAAGTGAGGAGATTCATTTATCGATGTTTGTTGTATGTTATCGCAATTATGTTGACTCACTGTACATATCTTATTAAATGAATTGGATTTGTGTTACAACAGAATATTCAATTTTAATTTCAAACAGAGACATAGATAGCTATTATTATAACTATTGTTATCTATGTCTCTGTTTAAAAGTAGTTTGAAAAAAGAAATAAGAATGAGTATCATGTAATGCAACCATTGCATTAAATGAAGATAAAAAAAGCCATAGTTGATTCCTATCATGGATCATATCATGGGTGGATTAACTGTTATTCCCTTCTGATTTACTATTAAAAAGCTTGCGCCGGACATTATATTCATATTCACTTATGTTGTAAAGAAAACTATCTTTAATTTAACTTCATTTGTAATAAATACAGTGTAATACGCCGTTAATTTTATCAAATTTAACTCGTCGACAAAAAAGGTTATCATAACTTCCATTTAAAATTACCGTTACATGTCGAGCGGTCCTCTTAAATCTAACAATCATTCGATAGTGAAAATTTAATTGACGTTTGATCCGTCCATCATAAATAATTGTTACAGGTAGTTGTATGTTAGCGATTTAATGATTGGTTAAATAATGTCGCCTCGATTAAAACGTGAATTACGATTGGTTTCTCGCACGTATCGGTAATCTCGCCGTGGGCGGAGTCTAATTGTTCCTCGAGCGTCTGTTAATTAGACTTTTATGACATGTTGGTAAACAAATGGATTAATGACATTTCGCGTTGATTGAGATGCATGACAGTCCCTTTTTCCGGCGGCGAGGGTAAACAAAGCAAACACACACAACATGTTATTCACAGTTATTGTTATTGTTGGTAATTTTCAATAATGGATCAATAAAATCGGGCGACTTCATCTTCGCTTTCATGTAGGATGTCGGCGAAGACAGACGGAATTCGGCGACTATTTCGCCCGAATCGCCCACTAGCTCGAGCCCTGTTGTATATCCCTGCACTGCCACATCAAGGGGGTGGTTTTCTTTTATGCGGGATATTTTTCATTTGTTTTGGAAAAAGCCCCTGGCTTAAAATGGGAAAAAATATAAAGCATTTGGGAAAATTTAAGATGCCTATCACAGCCAGCATTTAAGAGTTTATATAAATCAGGACAGCAAAATGTTCATTTGTATTCTTGCAATATTGCATTATTGTTTACTATCAAGAAAGTACAAAATATTGAGTTAAATACAAACCTTCAAAAATCTGTACAAACAAAAGAGAGCCAAGACGAGAACAACCCAGCATGCTAGCACGATACAAACAATTCCTGCCACTGGGAGAGCCATTGCACTTTATGTCAAGGTTTCACATTGTTTATACACTGAAATATAAGAAGAGTTAATAGCAATATTTTTTCACACTCATAGACTTAGATATCTTTTTATTAGAGCTGTCATTGTATATATACATGTATATACACTCTGTCTACGTCTGACCCGTTCTTGTGTCATACAGCAGAAAATATTAAATGTTACAGCTGATAATAATTTAATTGAGACACATCCTTTCAAACTTACTTTATAATTATTAAGCATTAGAAATGATACATTTTAATATTTTGGTCGGCATTAGTTGTCTAAGAATTATTTTCCTTTTCCCAACTTTCAGGACACATATTTGAAATCCAAAAAGTTCTTGTTTTATTATGAAAACGTCAAAACAAAAAAATGGGTTCAAAAGCTTCTCAAATTGCTCCAATCTTAATTGCCCCAACATTTTTATTCCACATGTTTGGAATTAAAATTTTCTTTCTGGCACACATATTAGAATAATTATTTTACAACAAGTATTTATGTATATTGTTGCATGTGAATGCAGAGTTAAATGTATACTGACAGCCCGATGGATCAAGTTAGAATATGGTCAAACCTCTAGTGTCACAAACATGCTTCACTCCCTTCAGATTCAAAAACTGGAACTCAGACATACAGATGCTAGGTTATCCCTTTTCTATAAGAATTAAGATTCACCATGGTCTGGTTGCTATCCCCATAGAATATGTCATTTTATATGTGACACCCCTCACCCTTATATCATGCCATGACCATCCCCTGTGTTATTCCCTGCAACTTCAGACTATCATAAATTCTTCTTCTTTCAGTGGACGGTATACAACTGGGCCCACCTACCCCCTGTAGTTGCCCTACTCCCTACCCCAGGAAAGTTCAGTGCAGCCATAGCTTGCATTGAAAATGTCTCAACCTAGTTTTCCAGCCCCCTATTTTAATATTTTTATTATTCATCTTTCATCCTTTTTTTAAACTAATATTTTTCACTTTGCTTGCAATTTTGACGAGCAGACATGTCTACGTCCCTGCATGGGGTTTGACATTTATGGAAGATAGACAAGTTGTTAGCCCTATTGGGTTGTTATATCGGCAAAGTAGTCATGAAAATATATTTTCGTCTCACATCATCAATATTACTTTTTTTCCATGATTTGATGCATGTTGAGTTAATTTTAACTCATATTTCTTAGGTATTCCAAATGAATTCAAATAAATTGTTTAACTGTAATTTTATGAGTTGATTTCTGTAATATATTCAGTGAACCAAGGGGTCTATTCAATAAGTTCTAGGGACTGGTTCCTGGATTCCCTTGTATCTCGATCCTAGTTCAATATATTAGACATTACATGCTTGTTATAGTTTATGTTGGTCAAGCCTGACATATAAATTAGTTATTGCTCATAGACCGGTAGCATCATAAAAAATTCAAATGTCTATTTTCTTGCCTTTCAAGCTTTATTCAAAAGCTTATCCTCTTTTCTTTCAATTTCATGCTCAATCATAAACAAAAACTCTCAAACAATGTACTTATCAATTTTAAATAAAATATAAACATCAATCTATTTTTGTCTATCAGCCATACTGGTGAAGCAAGGTGTTCAAAACCCAAAGCAGGCAACTCAAAACATCAGCCTATGTTACTTATGTTCGACCACAATTAGAATACTGTTCCACCATATGGCACCCCTGGCAGAAACATTTAAGTCATAAGATTGAAAGTGTCCAACGAGCTGTGGCTAGATATGTCTGTAATAATTATAATTTCGACAGTAGTGTAACCCAAATGCTAAATGAACTTGGGTGGCCTTCCCTAGAAAGCCGCAGACTCCAGTCCTCTCTTGTAGTGTTCTATAAAATCCAATACAAACTTGTATATGTTGACCATAACCATCTGACCCCAACTAGAAATCTGAACTTCCTGAACCCCCAGTCCCGTACCCAATATCATCTAAATTCCTACTTCCCTAGAACTCTCAGGTATTGGAATAGCCTTCCATATCAGGTCAAATCCAGTTCCAGCCTAGATGCCTTCAAGGATAGGTTGGCAACAGTCACCTTCTAGTCCCCACCCCCAGTATGTTTTTAATCTTGCACTCTTTCTTTTATCCTGCACCTTTTTTTTATCTGTGATCTTTATCTTTTAGTATGCACCTAATACTTTTAACACAGTTTTCCTGACAGCGCCTCCCAGTCATAGTCAGAATTGATTGTTCTGGAGTAACATGTAGATGTTTACAGATTGATTCCAAATTTTTGAATGGAAAAATATATTCGAACACACCGACACTTGCATGGGCAATCATTTCGTTTAAAAAATATTCTGTTAGAATATTCTGACTCAGTTGAACGCTTGCAATTGAATTAGCCAATCAGACTTTGCGCACTGTATGGGCGCCATTTGTTTGTCGGCTGTAAAAGGAATTTAAATACATTAGAGGATTTAATCATTATTTTTCGGATGTGACAGTTTAATTATTTTGACAAAAGGTATTTATTTTTAGTTTTGTTCATAAATAGATCAAAATTCATGTAAATACACGCTGTTTTAATTGTTTTTCATTCCGTCTGATTTTCTGGCGGAACATGCTATTGGTTTTTGAGCAATTTCGAAATGATGTTGCCTTGCCCAGAAGCAAAAATATCTCAAAGCAACGTCATATTTATAGGACTATCTCGATCCTAGCTTTCTCTGCAGTGACTAGTCTATAGTCATGTCTACGTCCCCGCGAGGGGTTTGACATTAATTGAGGATAGATGGATAGAAACAGAACCCATGTGCAGGCTTCGCGAAAGTTGCCGGACCGTCGGACATGTCCGGCAAAAATCAGGCCGGTCCGATATTTTTTTTCGGAGTTCCGGACCTTATGTCCGGTACGAATACCGGGATATATCCAAGACTGATCAAGACCGAGTTTTCTCCCTTGAATAAAAAAAATGTAAAACGAGTTTTGATTCGCTGTTTCATTATAAGTGTCCAATCAAATTCTAGATACATACGACTGTCAATAACCAAAATGTCGGTGTTACTACCTACATTATGACGCTGGCGCTACGCCCGGCAAAAATCGTAAACTATCCAATGAAGAAAAAAAAGCGAAACAAAAGGAATACAAGTCCAGGCGCCCGCCGAGAAAATTTGTGGGTAAATGGACAAATGGCTGCTTTGATCATGAATGTTTTGATTTCCAGACAGAGTCCATCAATCTGGATAAACTATGTTTTATTTAAGGGAATAAAATTGTGTTGCAAATCTTTAAAAGTTGTTATGTCTTTAAAAAAAAAAACACAAATGTATTACCATTACCGCGAGTTAAATGATGACATACTGTTTTCAAAATGGCCGACACACGGTCTACATCTGACAAATTAAAACTTACTTTGATTGAATATATTGTTGTTTCCTTGTGTCATATAGCAGAAAAATGACTAAATGATACAGTTTATGAAAGTTTTTGTCGTGTAAGATTATTGTTTGTCTTCTTTACTGTTTTAAAGTGTTAAGTATCGTGAACTAAGAGGAGCACAGTATACCATATACATATATTTGGAAAAAAAAATTCGGTCAGACAAAAGTTCTTTCGGTCAGACAAGAATTGAAAGTTTGTCTGACCGAATGTCAGGCAAATTTTTCAGCAGTTTCGCGAAGCCTGATGTGCTTCTAGCCTTTTTAAACTTTCATGCCGCATCAGATGAAAAATACAAATGTTAAAAAATGGCTTATAACGCCAGAATATAAAATTATGAAACCTATAAAATTTTCAAAAAGTGATTTATTATGACCTATTTAATCCTGCATTTCCCGCACTTAATTAAAATTCTATTATTGGACAACTGACAATATGATATTAACAATTCAAATAACCAATCACAAAATTATGAAAATTTTGTCAAAAATTATTGCCTTATTTTGTGATGATTTATCAAATATTGCTTTGAAATCTTGAACAATAAAAAGGATTACAGGTCAAAATATAATATTAATAAATATAAATAACATCATTACATATCATCCGATTCATTCTGAAGTGATTTAAATGAAGTCTTTAACTTTTTCTTGACAGGAATTAGCAGGACTCCCGGGGAAGATGTGTCACGTGATCAAACAAAACGTAAACCGTTTTGAAATTTTACGACAATACAGGTTGTAAGGTACTACATTTATACATTTTATTTTACAAACTCCTCGGAGCGGAAACCTCAACTTATCAATAATAAATCTGGAATCGGGAGCATTAACAACAAGATAACGTGAAAATTACATAAAACAGCAAGCAATATTGCAAATTTTTTATAACAGTTTCATTTTTGCATGATAACAAGATATTTTAATTGATTAGCTGTGGCATCGCTATTATATATATTTTGTGTAACTTACCGGACATGCAATTCGTTTTCAAATACTGCTAAAGAACATATACCTTACAATTATAACTACTAAGTCCCTTCTTGCTAAAAGATTTTAGTGTGGGCCTGAACGAAACGGGGCGTAATTTTAAATGCCTGAATTCCTTATATTTAGAATGACTATATATGTTTCTGGATCATTATTGCTTTTCATATAAGAATACAAAGTAAGAGATTTTTGCTACTTCTGATTTAGCTATAGATAACGTATCAGCGGATCTTATAACCTCAACTATATATAATAGGCCGTGAAAATTAATTTCTTACAATTCGCAAATTGATTTGATAAATATATCATTTGTAGTTTCAGAGTTATGTCCCAGACAAAGTTCAATATGTGATAATTCCAAACTCAGGCAATGCAGAGTGACTATTCTTTGCACTGCACTTCTACTCAATTAGATCTATCTACCGACTTGCACGCGACACGTCGTCTCAATATGTTGATCATTTCTGTGAAATAGTTGTAAAATCCGACTTCAAATAACCAAGTTATTGGCCTGACACAATTTTGCTTCAAGGTCATGCTGTGACCTTGACCTTCAAGGTAGCGACCCAAATGTTGCGCATCACATGTCATCTTAATATGCTGATCATTTCTGTGAAAAAAGTTATAAAATCCGACTTCAAATAACAAAGTTATGGGCTGGACACGATTTTGCTGCAAGGTCACGCTGTGACCTTGACCTTCAAGGTAGCGACCCAAATATTTCGCGCGACACGTCGTCTCAATATGGTGATCATTTCTGTGAAATAGTTGTAAAATTCGACATCAAATAACCAAGTTATGGGCCGGACACGATTTTTGTTCAAGGTCATGCTGTGACCTTGACCTTCAAGGTAGCGACCCAAATGTTGCGCGCGACACGTCCCCCGAAATTTTTCGGGGAGCATAAAAAAGTTGTAAACTGCAAACGCATTTTATTTTAGCTAATCCAAGAATATGTTGCACATCGAATAATTCAATATAAGTAGTCACTTAAAGTTATTTATATTTTTTTAGACTGTGTATTGGTTTGTAATAAAAAGGTACAGACCATGTATATTTGGTTAAACTTTAAGAGGAAAAACTATTGACTAACTTTTTAATAGATAGTTTTCTTTAATACCCTAGTCAGATTTTATGATTTCATATATAATAACTTTGCAATAGTGCCCTCTCTTGTTTTTGTTTGGTGTCCTGCTGGGCTCCTTGCCGGTGGTCATGTGTTGCTGGTTTTTGTCGGGGGATGCTCTCATTGAATGTTATTCCTTGTTGATCTTTGTTTTCATATTTTATCATTTCCTTTCTTTCCAAATTTCCGAGAATTATTCTCAAGAAAATCACATTAATTTATACATTTGTATATCTAACGAGATTATATTTTAAACAGTTAAAAAATCAACAATTAGTTCTTTTTTGCATAGCTCTTTTGTTGAAATGTTGAATCACTTTGTTTCCAGATCTTTAGTATTTTTGACTGACTTGTATGAATGTATGCTTTTAAGATTAAAAAAATAACAAGCCTACGCCAGGTGATGCAGTTTTGATTCCTAGAATGCCGATGGTATTCTAAATTAATAACAATGTATATACACGGGCATGAAGAACAATGTATTTCGATGATTGGCATGAAACAAAGTAATGCCAAAAAACAAAAACAAGAACGTGTTTGCTAAACACAAATGCCCCGGCTCCGATTCTTGTCAGTAGCAATATTTCAAAAAATGTTTACCCATTCACTCAGTTATGGACAGAAACATTGCCAAAAAATTGTAAACACAAGTTATATAGCTTGACAGAGTCATGGCATTTTGTAATTGTGAAATATATAAGTTGCCAAGTCATTGCTATGACTTGTGAAGTGATAAATATTCAACTTTATAAAATATATATAAATGTAAGAAATCTATACTTGGCACCCTTGACCTTGACCCACAGACACCTATAGAATATCATGCAAATTATCTTCCTTCCAAATATAAAATACAATTGTCAATAAATAAAGGCTGTATGGGCAAAAATGTTAAAATCTATAATTTGATGACCTTAATCAAACTGACCCCTAACTCCATCCAAAGGAAGAATACCATGAAAGTTATCTTCCAACCAAATATGAAATAAATCTGTCAACAAATAAAGGCTGTATGGGCAAAAGTGTAAAAATCTATTTTTAGCACTTGTGACCTTGACCCAACTGACCCCTAACTCCATCCAAAGTAAGATAAACATGCAAGTTTTCTTCCTACCAAATATGAAATATATCTGTCTATAAATAAAGGCTGTATGGGCAAAAGTGTAAAAATCTATTTTTAGCACTAGTGACATTGACACACTGATCCCTAACTCAATCAAAAGGAAGAATACCATGCAAGTTATCTTCCTATCAAATATGAAATATACCTGTCAATAAATAAAGCCTGTATGGGCAAAAGTGTAAAAATCTATTTTAGCACAAGTGACCTTGACCCACTGATCCCTACCCCAATCAAAAGAATGAATACCAGGCAAGTTATCTTTCTACCAAATATGAAATATATCTGTCAATAAATAAAGGCTGTATGGGCAAAAGTGTAAAAATCTATTTTTAGCACTGGTGACCTTGACCCAACTGACCACTAACTCCATCAAATTTTATGTTCCTATCAATTATTAATGACATCTGTCTATAGAATATGGTTAATACACCTGTAAAATTCTATTTTTAACATTGGTGACCTTGACATTGGTGACATTGACCTTGACCCAAATGACCCTTACTATACCCAAAGAAGGAGGACCTCCCTTGGCATGTTTGTATTAAACATGAAAGACATCAACCAAAAAATAAAGGCTGTATGAGCAAAAACGTTTAAATTTATTTTCTAAACCAGTGACCTTGACCTTGACCCTAGGACCATTAAAGGTATCCACCTACCAAATATGCAAGATATCATTAAATAAATTAAGCAATTAAGAGAAATTTACGATAATTCCAACTTGCCGGAATAGGTTAACCAGACAAGGCCCTATTTTCAAAGTGAAAAAAGGGAAATAACTGGGAAATATGGATGACACAGTTATATAACTTGGCAATATCATGTACTTTGTATTGATAAGTAAGTGTGGAAATTATGAAGCCATTAGTATAGATAGAACTTAAGATATTTCCAACTTGCCGTTCTAGGTTAACCTCGTACGGACAGACGGACGGACGTTCTCACAGGACAGTAATTATGTTGCTACTCTATTGTTCTCTCTATTGTTCTTTTTAGCCACACAAAAGAAATAGCCACATAAAAGCATTACGGAATGAATGACTTCAAAGAGAAAGAACAGTTACCTACTGTCCCTCTAGCCACATAATTACTCTCCTGCGAGTGCGGACGGACAGACGGACGGACGGACGGTTCAATTACTATATGCCCGGGGGCATAAAAAACAACAAAAAAACATTCATCACGCCCGCCGGCCAAGGATTGGGCGTTCTCAATTTGAAACACTTAATCAATGATACAGAAGGACCAGCAAAATATAACAAAACTGAAGTTCATAAACTGCAGACATTAAGTCTAATAATCTAAAAGTATCACGTTGACCCAAAAAATCACATGCTGAAAACGACAATGATTGAAAATCCCACCTATTTATAGGGAACAATGTTACATGTTATATGTATATAGTATGACGTCTTTTCACATACCCTCGGTGCGTGCATGTCTCTGAGGAGGCACAGGACTTCGACAGATGATTGAATATCCACTGCAACATGTAGAACTGCAAATTTGCATGTTTTCTACAGCTTATGACATTGTTTAAGGCTTAGTCTGCATGGAGTTTGCTGCCGGTTTCTTAACAAAAGCCGAGGGAAGAGAGTGTCGGCTCCAAGGGCAGATCTTTGCTTGGCACCAACAGCCCTTTTACGGGTTACCTCCTTTTCAAATCGCCTCAGGTTTCTGTACATTTAGGTTCTCCTTGGCCGCCATAAAGTAACCTACTTTTGGCTCAAAATTCATATATTTGGCTAATACTCCTTGAAACTTGCATGGAGGTAAATTACGAACACTTTGTGCTTCAAATTACTGGTGACATGTCCACAGCGATAGCTGCATTTAGTGCATGGACCCTCATTAAACATGGAATACATTTGTACATCGTATGACGTAAATACATTGTATTGGATCTATAAATTGTCTGATAGACACTATAGTGATAATGTTCAATATGAATCAATTCATTGCTCTTGTTAACATTCCTCACAAGGACCTCGTTAACTTAGATACGACTGTATCCGTGATTCTTTTCAAGTTTCTTTGAACATATTTGTTTTTACATTTTGTATTTGTAGATGCTCCAAGTACTTCCACACTGTAATACTGCATTACAGCAGTGTCCAGTATTCTGTGAGTTCCATATAAAAACCAACTCTTGATCTTTGCTGTTTAAGTATTAGATACTAAAATGTCAAGTGCCGTGTGGCAGCTTTAAAAGTGGCCAATACTACACTTCATTTTTCTGATCCTCCGAGATCCTTGATTCCAAATCGTTAGCGTTGAAGATTAAATATATCTTAAGCCGGTACTATGAGTCGAGAGATATATTACACCTTTACGTTATATATAAAAAACAGACTAAATCAAAACGAGTCTGCAATTTTCACATAATATTGTTATTTCAATGCTTCCAAGGGATCACTCTTTCTCCAAATTGTATGTACCTCATTGAATGCCACCCTTCCTTGTTGATCTCTGTTTTCATATTTCGTCATTGGAATATGATAAACAAGATCAACAAGGACAGGCGGCGTTCAATGAACGCAACCCTATGCATAACCATGCATAAGCTGCTTTTTGTTGGATTACACAAAAGTGTCACATTGAAGACTCTATGATTATTGCTTTGGGCACATCTGCTGATGTAACTAAATTATAAAAATCAACATTTCCATACTTAAATGCTGTATTCTGCTTAAGACGATGCTTTTTTTTAACCATGAGTTCAGCACTAAAGCAGTCGAACCTTATCATACATATTTTAATTACTGAAACATTTTGACATTACATTCTTTACCAAAACCCATTCTTCTGCAAACACCAACGAATATGAATCAACATATCTATTTAACATAACTCAATTTCATCGAGTCTGCCTGTGTGAGACAATGGAAATTGCAAATCTCTCAAGAGCCTTTGACATGTGCTAAAGCAGTATACAATCTTATTTAAGCACAATATGAGCTGGATTTAAGTGAAGTAAGGGACAACGTTTCTACAGCTGCCGCACAACACTTGAAACTTTTTTTGTGTTTTTTATTTTTGTTTTGTTTTGTTTTTTCCAATATTCCTACTTGAATAATGTTGAATCACCCTTAGGATATGTTGCCTGCTTTTTAACTTTGTCTTTTGACGGTTTATTTGTGATATGCAGGCTTCATAACCTCTGATCCCCTTTCAAAATTCCATTTCATTTAGTTCCGCCCATTGTTTTCTCGTTTAGGGAGCACGCTTTCTATTACTTTGGGACCATATTAAATGTTGAATTCTGCTTAAGCCGGTGCTAGGTGCGTGGACGGTAGTTTGCACTTAACAGTACCGTCCATGAACAGGCTCAATCAAACCGAGCCTGCAACATTTTCAATTTCTCTATTTTTTGTGAGTCTAAACACCTGGAAAAGGGAAAATCCCTCAACAACATTATTATTGTATTTATGGTATTTTAAGTTTTTACTATTCGAACTTCTTTAAATTGAGTGGTTACATTACCTACTTGAATATTGTAAATCACCTTACGGTTATGTTTTCTCTCCTCTTTTCACCACTCTTGTGCCCCAACCCGTTTTTTGAGTTGGTGCTTTCTGGGTGCCCTGCTAGTTTGACTTCTCTCGGAAGCATTAATCACAACAAAATTACATGCGTGGTGGTGGCGTTCATTGAACGTTTGTGTCACATTGAAAGTTATCGCTGTTTAAAAACACATGCAGATGTAACTAAAATAGATTTAAAACATATTTCACAATTTTCATGTTTTTTGTTTAAGCAGGTGCTAGAAGGTTTCCGTTTTCTTCTGTTTGACATGGTAAAAGACATGGGTAAATAGGAAATTCTGGTAGAATATGAAACACAAGATCAACAAGGAATGATGGCATTCAACAAACGCATCTCCCAAACAAATGACAACCGACAAGGAGCCCCGCTGGACACAAAAAGGACAGAGAAAACGGACAAAAAAAACCTGATTAACTGACGAAATGTCATTATAAATTATTTAAATAAGAAATCATAGAATAGAGAAAAACAGTATCCCTAAAGAAAGTCCAACACGTCAAAATTGAAAATTTTGCACGTAAAAGGTAATTAAAATTGCTTCCGATGGGCAAGGGACAGCACGTGAAGTGGTTGCACATAACCTGTTAATATCTTCAATAACTTCGTCATATCAGAAGCTAGGAAGCTGAGACCTTAAACCGAGTTTGCCATAAACATTGCTTTAAGGAATAGGCATAATTAAGAATTTCAAAATAACATATAATCCCACTTACATGAAGAAAATACGTGCCAATGTTATATAAATATTTATGACTCAGTAGCCATTTTGTTAAGTTTGCAACCAATTTTCTCGCTTGAACCAAGTGTGCAACCACTCTACGTCCTGCCCATTAAAATACCTACAAAAGGATAAAGGTGTAGGGGAAGTGGTCAGTAGGACGGGGTTGACGGGGGGGAGGTCATAACAATGAAAAAAAACACAAGAGGGGAAAAGGACAACTTTATATAACCAAGTTTGCTTTAATCTTCCTTTACTGATTATCTTCCTTTATTTAATTAAAATGGTTTGTCCGGAGCATAATTCCAAATCCTTCAAAAGCATAAATTACAACAAAATTCGATGAAAAATGCAGATTCAGTTTGAACGAGTCTGTACATGAGGGATAATGAAAAATTATATAACATATCCTTGACGTCCCTAATCAACGGCTTAAGCAGTACTCTATTTTCAAATCGAGCGGTGCTAAATTTTTAACACGAGCGGTACTAAATGTTCAACACGAGCAGTTTAACCAGTTTTCACAACTTTTAAAAAAGTGCAGGAATCAATTATCCCGAAGGACCAGAAAAATATAACAATACTGAAACTTACAAGTACGAGGCAACTTGACACCTGCTTTTGTGAGGTATAGTAATCTGGATAAAAAAGTGATCCCTCACAACAAAATTACATGAAAATAACAGGCTCCGTTTGATCGAGTCTTAATTCCTCACGATCCTAGCACCGGCTTTAGAGGTACTCAGTTTTAAAAGTGCTGAAACTTATAGGACCAGAATTATACCAGAATATAATAACATCGGATGGATCGAAGTACGTACGAGTCAACAGTTTGCCACGTACACGGAACTTTATCTAATTGACACTGGTACGGTCTGCTGTTGTGATCCCTCGGAAGAAGACTGTCTTCATTTAATACCCTCTTTCGTTGTTTATTTAAGCGCAGTTTCATATATATATTTATATTCTTTAAACATGATATATATCACTATTAATTCGGCAGAAGTATCCACTGCGTGTACACCGTCACATGTACCACTTGGAAGGTCATCGGTATGGGAGGACCTCTTTTCAGACCAATATACTTGTTAGATAGCTGCTTAAATCCGGTTATTGAATAGGGCAACAAGGAAATCGATAAACACGATAAACACTTTATCTAACTACGCAGTTGTGTCAGGTGATCAAAATAAACCTATCCCAGTCAACGACCTTCTACTTCCAAATAAGGTCAATGATGTCATACGTGAAATTACAGACCATGCGCATTGGTCAGAACAATCCGCCATGTTGTTTCATCGTATATGAAAGAATCGATTGCGGAATGTGATATGAAAGACAATATTGCTACTAATGTGTAAGTTATTGATATAATTTGTTAAGTGCTTTATCACATAGGCATATTTGAAAGATAAAGCAATTATTCATTTAGCAGTTTGGCTTTATTTGGATTTATAATCGCTAATGTTTATCATAAGCTACCGAGTACGTAAGCCTGTGCATTAATAAAAAGTATATAGGTATCAGTTGCTACCATAATATGTATATGATTGAAAGGCGTGTGCAGTAAGAATTTAAATTATTTGTATCAATTATATATTATAAATGAAACTGTTTTGCATTACAAAGTAAAATGTTTACCTCGCGGGTCCAAGGGAGGTAATGAATTAATTATTATCGATTCGTACCACTTTCAGCTCGACCTACTGTCAGACGGCAAAATTTTAGTGAAGAATTAAATCAAAGCTAAGATATGATTCATATGAATATACTTTTTTACTATAATTTACTGATAAATAGTATCTAATAATTAATAATTAAATGTATAAAAATATCTAAAAGAATCTTTATACCACGACATTAAAAGTATTTGTAAAAATTATTATAAAACATTATTTTTACATTCTTTTATCATATCTTTATCTGAATGTTGACTTGGTATTTATCAGTGTTACAAAGCAGTCACCTTTTCGTATTCTGATGTGCCAATTTCATCTGTTTTAAGTATGTTCCGATAATACAAGGAACCATTTCGGCAAACTTAATTTATAAAGTGCCAAATCTATCTATTGTTTGATGGGCACGTAGGTCAATTATCGTACATCTTAATGTATGGTTTATGACACATTTTCATGCAATTAAAGACAAGATATTGAAAATGTAAACCTTTCTATTATTTATTATTTTCTTAAGTATAATAATAGTATTTACATAAGGCCATCCTTAAAAAAATGTTTGTTTGCAGTAACGCGACCGACTCACAAAATTTGCCCCTACTCAAATTTTTTTTCGTGGTCTGGATAAAAAAATTTTTTTTTGAATCAGAAAATTATGCCCTGTGCTTTAAGGTTAATAGAAGAAATAAAATGTAGTTCTTATTAAATTAGAATTCAGTTATCTATTATCAAAGCATATTTTGTCCAGCATTTTGAAATTCCATGTTTATTTGGGAGTACAGTTCAATAATAAAAAAAAAAAAATCGACCTACCTACCCACCTTGAAAATTCTGGGTCGGGTAACTGCAAACAAACATTTTTTTAAGGACGGCCTAAAAGCATATACAATACAAAAGATCTCAGTAAACAAACATCATAAAAATATATTTATAAACGTATATACGAAAGTAAAACCTGAAAAAAAGAATAATGATTTAAATTTACGCAAAATTAGAACACATTAAGTGAAGCCTATAAAATATGAAAATGTTTTTTTTATTATCTATGTCAAACTATATTCACAAATGTTAAAAGCTGAAAAGAAGGAACAATGTGTAAAAGTGATCAGGTTCTATGAGAACAGAGACCAAACCAGGGACTGCGTTCAGGAGGAAGTCAGGCGGAAACTTTGCTGTAAATTTTTTCACTTCGCCCTATATGATCGGAAAAGCGAAATACTAGTCGCACTTAAATCTCTATGAAATGTCTGACATGTATATTTCTCCACTTGATAATACTGCCTGGAGGCAGATTTAATTGTGTAATCTGCCGTATTTGGCACACGCACTGAAGCGTGGCCATACTGTAGCGACACTTTGAAATCCACCTCGCTAAAAATAGCGCATTGATTATACATGTACATTAAATCGGGTAAATTAAAGCTGTGAAAGACCCTGATATGAATGCAGCAGGTGATAAAAAGCTAGCTTATTGATGATTAAGTTACCTCAAACGTATATTTGTGTCTTATTTACAATATCCCCTATACATTTTCTTTGATTTACAATTTCCCCTATATGTTTTGTTTGAATTATAATATCCCATATACATTTGCCAGTCCATTCTTGTTATCACCATTAGATTTATGGTAGTTATTAATTACAACTGTGTTTTATGGCTATAGAATTTGGATAATTATTATCAATTAAAGAACTTTTCTTCTTAATTAATTGCATAAAAGTTAGAGTCAGAAAATGTTGAACCTAAAAAAAATAAAAAATGTTGTGTTGATGTAATGTTGTGTTGATGTGAATCAAAATGCTTAAAGCAACTTCATTAAATATCATCATAGCGATTTTCAAATACGCATTTGTTTATTTTCCGTGCCATATGATATACATGACTTTTTTATAAGCATGTACATATAAAGGTGTACATGTATACTATATTTTAATAAATAAAATTAAAGAAAAAAAACAATGATATAACTCGATTTGATGATCACTTCTCCCTAAATTTCAAAACTTCTCCCTATTTTTCCTGAAGGGAAAAGTCACTTCTCCCTAAAATTTCAGTCCAAGGTAGTCCCTGCAAACCATCACAAATTTTTAACAGTAAATTCTCAGGGCTCTGAAGATTTATATATACAGTATGCAAGAAGAATGATAGATAATAAGTTACTCATAACTTAGTTAGATTAACTGCTAACTTAGATTACCATAAATGCCCATCCTATTACAAATGTTTTTAATTGGAATTAAATCAACATAATTATATATATACAGAAAAATAAAACCTGTAAAAGAAAGAATTAACAATGTACTTTATAAGTATATACATAAAAACAAGACATACAAAAACATATAAAAATATTAATCCGAAATAAGAAAAAATTGTACCTTGATTTTGTACGTAATAAACAACATGAATTTAAGATTTTGAATTTCCTAGCCCGAATTCCAGTTTTGAATTTATTCTACTATATATTTAACTAAATTTTCAGTGGCCCGAACCGGGCCAGTGCTAAATTCAATGACTGCATCTTTTTTAAATTCTTTATTCATCTCTATATAAACAATCAACACATGAAATTAAAGAAAATTACTATATAACATAAGATCGATGAAACCACTTTTGCACCTGTTCATAAATTAAGTTCGCCACCAACATAATTCGATAAAATTATAATAAATTGGACACTGATCGAGATCAATAAACAAAATCTATATCTTCCATTTTTAGCTCACCTGAGCACAAAGTGCTCAAGAGTGAGCTTTTGTCATCACTCTGCGTCTGTCGTGCGGCGTGCGTCCTTCAAAAAATGGCGTCAAACTTTTCAAACAACATCTCCTCCTAAACCACATGGCCAATTGCAACCAAACTTTACAGAAATGATATTTGGCATGAAACATCTTCTTATGAGTGTCTACCAAGTTTGTTCAAATCAAAGCCCTGGGGTCAAAATTGGCCCCACCCTAGGGGGTCATTGATTTTTCCTATATGCATATAGTAAAAACTTAAAAAATCTTCTTTTAAAGAACTAGAAGAGCTAGAGCTAAGATATTTAGCATAAAACATGTTCTAATGGGTGTCTACCAAGTTTGTTCAAATAAAAGCCCTGGTGTCAAAATTGGCCAGCCCCGGGGGTCATTGATTTTCCTTATATATGTATAGCAAAAACTTAAAAAATCTTCTTTGAAAAAACCCAAATAGCTGGAGTTTAGATATTAAGCATGAAACATCTTCTATTGAGTGTCTACAAAGTTTGTTCAAATAAAAGCCCTGGGGTCAAAATTGGCCCCGCCCGAGGGGGTCATTGATTTTCCTTATATGTTTATTATCAAAAACTTAAAAATCTTCTTTGAAAAACCCAAATAGCTAGAGTTTAGATATTAAGCATGAAACATCTTCTAGTGAGAGTCTACCAAGTTTGTTCAAATAAAAGCCCTGTGGTCAAAATTGGCCCTGCCCCAGTGTGTCTTTGATTTTCCCTATATGCATATAGTAAAAACTTAAAAGATCTTCTTTTAAAGAACCCAAAGAGCTACAGCTAAGATATTTAGCATGAAACATCTTTCTTCTAATGAGTGTCTACCAAGTTTGTTCAAATAAAAGCCCTAGGGTCAAAATTGGCCCCACCCTAGGGGGTCAAAAGTTTGTTCAAATAAAAGCCCTAGGGTCAAAATTGGCCCCGCCCCAGGGGGTCATTGATTTTCCCTATATGCATATAGTAAAAACTTAAAAAATTTCCTTTAAAGAACTCAAAGAGCTAGAGCTAAGATATTTAGCATGAAACATGTTCTAATGGGTGTCTACCAAGTTTGTTCAAATAAAAGCCCTGGGGTCAAAATTGGCACCGCCCCGGGGGTCATTGATTTTCCTTATATGTGTATCGCAAAAACTTAAAAAATCTTTTTTGAAAAAACCCAAATAGCTGGAGTTAAGATATTAAGCATGAAACATTTTCTAGTGAGAGTCTACAAAGTTTGTTCAAATAAAAGCCCTGGGGTCAAAACTGGCCCCGCCCCAGGGGTGTCATTGTTTTTAACTATATGTGTATAGTAAAAACTTAAAAAATCTTCTTTTAAAAAACCCTATGAGCTAGAGCTTAGATGTTTAGCATGAAACATCTTCTTATTGGTGTCTACCAAGTTTGTTCAAATAAAAGCCCCTGGAGTAAAATTGGCCCTGATGGGGGGGGGAGTAGATCATTGTTTTTCATTACATGTGTGTAGTAAAAACTTAACATTGTGAAACATCTTCTAATCGGTGTCTTCCAAGTTTGTTCAAATAAAAGCCCTGGGGTTTAAACTGGCCCCGCTCCGGGTGCCTTTATACAGGTGAGCGACCTCAGGGCCATCATGGCCCTCTTGTTTTGTTTCATAATCGTACTGTTCTGTGTACATCTTGTTCTTGAGAAGTTTTTTCAAGACGGTTTGGAGAATCATTAAAATGTCTTTTGTGATTAACACAGATAAACAGTGTCTGAACCGGAGAACCAGAGAAAACCAACATAATGTGTTTGCGACCAGCATGGATCCAAACCAGCCTGCGCAGTCTGATCAGGATCCATGCTGTTCGCTATCAGTTTCTCTACTTGTAAAAGAGTTGGTAAGCGAACAGCATGGATCCTGATCAGACTGCGCGGATGCACAGGCTGGTCTGGATCCATGCTGGTCGCAAACCCATTACGTTGGTTTT